TCCCCCATTCCCTGTTCCCTCATTCCCGCATTCCCGCATTCCCACATTTCCCCATTCCCACATTCCCGCATTCCCCCATTCCCGTTCCCTATTTTAAAGATAGCCGTTTCAGAGGTGTTCCGGGCTGTTCCATGCTGTTCCGGAGGTGTTCCGTGCTGTTCCGGGCTGTTCCAAAGGTGTTCCGTGCTGTTCCGGGCTGTTCCGGTGTTCCGGATTAGTGTTCCGTGTTTTAGTACATGCCGAGTTGAAGAGAGTTTCAACTTCAACTCTCATAAACTGTCATCATGCAGACCATCAACTTTGAAGTATAGTTCAAATTTTGATGAGAGTTGATCATGACGAGAATTTTTGTTTGTTTGAACGGTATTATCCAGTCAACTCTCATGCAACTCTTGTTCTCGTTTGACCAGGGCATGAGTATTGCATAAGTCTATTTTTGCCGAAAAGGCATTTTGCAGTTCGTTCCAAACTCGGAACCAAGGCCAAGCCAAGGTCCGAAAGTACTATAATATATACGTTAAAACGAGTGTTGAAACGGGAAATTTCTAGTTTCCCATCGAAATAAGGGACAGGTCATTATTTATGGTGGGGGGTGGCACCGAAGAGAAATGTTTTTCTTGGAAAAATTTTTGCTGACCCAACCATTAAAAAGTCAAAAAATTTGATTACCCAACTCAAATATCAATTAAAAAATAAATACCCACCCCTGGCAAAAAACTTTACAAAATGATACCAGTCAGTTGTCACACATGTCCTTCACCACTTCTGTGATATCACTGATATGAGTTTGATAACGGCTTGTGAAAGTTTCTGCAGTCTAAAGTTTCATATTGTCTGCACATGTAGTTTCTTTGGACACACCAATTTGCCCAACAAATCGGAAAACGGTCAAGATAGTGACTCTGATCACAGTTTATAGAAATGCTCTGATTGATTCACATATTGTATTGGCATATCACTGTTGACATTGCTTTTCAGTCTCCAATATTTCAGTGAGTCATGCTTTGGAAATGACAATATTTTTTTATTACCCAACCATTGGGTTGTTTTGTTTTTCATTTACCCAACCTTTTACTCACTCACATTTTTCTTTACCCAACCTTTTTCTCTTCGGTGCCACCCTCCACCATAAATAATGATCGGTCCCTAATAGTAAAATACTATGTGTATTTGTGACACTTGTCTTGATAGTATAGACAAAATTTCGACTTGTTCATGCAACGTACGAATATTGATAAACGACCGTTTTATTTAATATATGTTATAAAAATATCTCAATAAACTATCTCAACAAAATATGTCAAACAATATTAAATATTAACATTAGCAAATGTTCTGAACCAAGTCAAATTTTATAATACAGATGATTTGATTTGACTAAATGAAGAGAAGAAGAAGAGATGATTTGACTAATTCAATCAGATGTAACATCTGTCACACTAGTTGTCGGATGTTATTTCGTTCTCGGCTTTTGTTTGCGTTGCAATTTCTT